TAGCACTGATGATGTTATCTAGTTGGGTCATGAAACGTCTGCAGGAAAACCACCCAGCTCAGAGAGCACCAAGGACCCCACACTCCTCCTCCTCCTCCCTTCTATTCCTGATGATGTTACCTAGCTGGGTCATGAAACGTCTGCAAGAAAACCACCCAGGTCAGAGAGCACCAAGGACCCCCACAGTCCTCCTCTTCCTCCGCCCTTCTAGCACTGATAATGCTACCTAGCTGGGTCATGAAACTGCAAGAAAATGAGTAAACTCAGAGAGCACCAAGGATCCCATTGTCGTCCTTCCCCTCCTCCTCCCTGCTAGCACTGATGATGTTACCTAGTTGGATCATGAAACGTCTGCAGGAAAACCACCCAGCTCAGAGAGCACCAAGGACCCCCACAGTCCTCCTCTTCCTCCTCCCTTCTAGCACTGATAATGCTACTGTCATGTGTCTGATTAACGAAACACTTAAAAGGACTTTCAGGCATGTTTTCTCCTAAAAGCATTTATTAAGGTTACAGAGACGTCAGTACAGCATGGTGGAAAATGCTTAGGTCTGGCTTCTCTTCCGTTACGCATAACATTCCAAGCATTTCCCACTCCCTTATTTTGGGGTCATGGTTCACATCTTCCAATCAACTTGGAAGGTGTGATTTACTTCCGGTTTCTTTCTCCCGGGCTATCCTTATGCTCCTCCCTCTTTCCCAGTTGCTGGTTTAACTATATAAATACCAGACAGTTCTGCATATTGTCAAAGCAAGAATATACAGTATTTGCAGCGTTGACAGCTACCTAGCTGGGTCATGAAACATCTGCAAGGAAACCACCAAACTCAGCCAGTGGCAAGGACACCACAGTTCAAAACCCGAGCTACCAATATTCTCTTCTATGGGAAGGCTATTTTAAGATCACGCGGTTCTTTAGTGTGTGTCTCTCCACGTGTTGTGATGAGTCTTTTTTTTTTCTTCCTGCCTTTTAGTTGGCTCTAACAGCTCGGGAGGCTCCCTCTGTTCTACCAGTGGCCGGGTCCTGATGGGCTCTCCGCCCGGAATTTACATGGGTTCCTCTCCTCCCAGCGCCGAGGCAGCACCTTGCTTGAAGTACATGCCGTACGGCGCATCCCCTCCCAGCTTTGAAGCTCCAGAACTGCCGGAAGAAACTTTGATGGAGGTACGGGGTTGACAGAGACATTCCAGTGCAAGGTTAAGGAGGTACAGGGGGTCCTCAAATTACAATCATTCGTTTAGTGCAGGGGTAGGCAACCTTGGCTCTTTTATGACTCGTGGACTTCAACTCCCAGACATCCTGGCTCTGCCATGCTGACTCAGGAATTCTGGGAGTTGAAGTCCACCAGTCATAAAAGAGCCAAGGTTGCCTACCACTGGTTTAGTATCACAAGAGCCCTGGTGGCGCAGTGGTTAGAAGGCAGTATTGCAGGCTACTTCTGCTGACTGCCGGCTGCCGGTAGTTCGATCCTGTCCGGCTCCAGGTTGACTCGGCCTTCCATCCTTCCAAGGTCGGTAAAATGAGGAACCAGATTGTTGGGGGGCGAGATGCTGACTCTGTAAACCGCTTAGAGAGGGCTGTAAAAGGCCCTGTGGAGCGGTATATAAGTGCTATTGCTTGGGAAAGGAAGGAAGGACGACGAGAAGGAAGGGAAACAAAGAAGGAAGTCGTGGTGGCGCAGTGGTTAGAATGCAGCATTGCAGGCTGACTGACTGCCCACAGCCAGGGAGTTCGATCCTGACCGGTTCAAGGTTAACTCAGCCTTCCGTCCTTCCGAGGTCGGTAAAATGAGGACCCAGATTGTTGGGGGCAAATAAAATTTAAGCTCGACTTTGGCTTGCTTCCCTCCAGAGAGAGCACACCGACACGCTGCGCCACTTGAATTTGATGCTGGCCTTCACGGAGTGCGTGCTGGACCTGACGGCTATTCGGAGTGGCAACCCAGAGCTCTGCAGCTCCGCCGTGTCCCTCTACCAGATCCAGGAGAGCATCGTGGTGGATCAGATCAGCCAGCTGAGCAAAGACTGGGGGTGGGTAATTCCTCAAAACGCCTGGTTTTGTAGAAATCTGTCCCAGCCTGTATAGGTAGTCTTTGCCTTATAAGCAGAATTGGGACCTACAGTTCTGTCCCAGCCTACATGAGTCCTTGTTCTGCTCACAAGGAAAAACCCCTCTTCCAAGAAACAGGCAGGAACCACAAGAAAAAAACAACCCCTTTTATTCTCACAGACCTGAGTCAGTGTCCAAGGCAAACAAACACAGTCCACAGAAACTCGATCTTCAACACGAACGGTTGCCTTTGGCAACCAGCACCTCCCACACCTTCCCTTTTATTATGCAGCCAAGGCGTGGCTTCCTAATGCCTTCTCCTTTGCCTTTGGAGCCGCCCCATTGCATTCCTCTGTCCTACTCGCTTCTCTTGCCTGCACAATCGTGCATCCGGGATTTGTCCTAGCTGTTCTTCATCACTGTCCAACTCAGGCTCCCAGCACAGCTGTGTCTCAGCCTGAACGCGAGTAGAGGGGCCAGGCTCCTCGTCAGACTGTAAGTCTTGGAGCTCCTGAGAGCCTTCCTCTGACTGTGATGTTACTCCAGGCCCCTCCTCCTCCTCCTCCTCTGATTCCTCAGACTCAGCTGCCGGGTCCACTGGCTGGCGAGGAATCACAATACTGTCTTCCTGCCCGGGGCGGTTCATGTTCCAACTTCTTGCTGTTACCGAACATTCAACATTCAACATTCAACATTTTATTTTTGCTTTTTTTTTATCTTTGTGCAGTTTTTATTTTTTTGTATGATGTAAGATGGGTGGCCAGTAACTTTTATATATATAAAAAAAATACATAAATTCCCCACACGATTTCACACTTTGTAGAGGAAAGGTGAGAATCTGTTAAGAATAGAAATAGAAATAAGTATAGAATAGAATAAAATAGAACCGAACAATAGGAGGAATATAGAATAGAACAGAATAGAATAGAATAGAATAGAATAGAATAGAAGTTGGAAGGGACCTTGGAGATCATCTAGTCCAACCCCCTGCTCAGGCAGGAAACCCTATACCAGTGATTCCCCAACCCCCAGTCTGTGTACCAGTACCGGGCACCAGCATGCCAGCAACTGGTCTGCACAAGCAAAGTTCCATCCCTGGGATACAGGCAGCACACAAAACCACGCATTCTCCGGTCCAGGGAAAAACCCTTCTCCATGGAACCGGTCCCTGGTGCCAAAAAGGTTGGGGACCTCTTCCCTATACCATTTCGGACAAATGGCTGTCCAGTCTCTTTTTAAAAACTTCCAGTGTTGGAGCATTCATAACTTCTGGAGGCAGGTTATTCCACTGGTTAATTGTTCTCACTGTCAGGAAGTTTCTCCTTAGTTCTAGCTTGCTTGAGTTGAGTTGATGCAGGCCCACCTGGCAGATTGCCCTACAGGAGCAATCTGGCTTTTTATCCTCTCAGAGTCTCCTTGAACCTGGAGATGGAGAGCAAATAAATTGGATAATTTAATAACGATACAAAATACAAAGACCTGCAAATAAAAATAGAACGGCTGTAGCAAAATAAAGCAAAAGTAGTACCAATAGGGATTGGTGCCTGGGGTGCAAACCCAACACATCTGGAGCACCACTTAAACGCCATTGGAATTGACACAATTCCATCAGTCAATTGCAAAGGGCAGTTTTACTTGGCATGGTTGACATCCTGCAATGATACCTTTAAGGATGGGATAGGCAACCTTGGCTCTTTTATGCCTCGTGGACTTCAACTCCCAGAATTCCTGAGCCAGCATGGGGGAACTATGGCCCCCTTCATGACTCTCGTGGGTTTCAACTCCCAGAATTCCTGAGCCAGCCATGCTGAGGGGAAATGGAGAGGTTTCCATGCTGAGCCATGCTCGCTCAGGAATTCTGGGAGTTGAAGTCCACGAGTCATAAAAGAGCCAAGGTTGCCTACCCCTGCGTCTAAGGTCTCAGTCGGTGGACAAAAATGCCAAACCATAATATCCCTGGCTTGTCTAGTTATTTTAATGCTGAATGCTTTTGTGGATTGAGTACAACTGTGTTTTAATAAGACCAGTTGCTGACACAGCCTTTGAATTGTAAAACGGAAGTTGGGTCCAGGAGTCTGCAGGTAGTCCCCGACTTAACGACCGTAATTGAGCCCAGGATTACAGTCGTTAAAGCGAGCCATCACTGATTGTGACCAATTTTTATTGCCTTTTTGCAGCGGTCGTTAAGGAAATTGCCATGATTGTTGAGCGTATGTGGCAGTTAAGCAAATAGGCTTTTTTTTTTTTGCTGGAAATGAGAAGTCAACACCAGTTTCCAGCATTCTAGATTGTGATCCCGTGAGTATAGACCAGTGGTGGCAAACCTATGGCACGGGTGCCAGAGGCGGCACTCAGAGCCCTCTCTGTGGGCACGCGGGCCGTCGCCCCAGTCCTAGGCCTTCAGCTGGGTTTTATAAAACCTTTTCGCTTTAGGCCTCCGCCACCGTGTGCAAAAAAAAAAAAAAAAAGGTTCAATCAATCAGTCAATTTCAACTTCTCGCGGGAAAAAAAAGATCTTGCAAAGTTGGAATTGATTGATTGAACTTTTTAGTCCCACCCAGTCTGCCGTTACCACCGCAGCCATGCCCACCCAATGGGCCACGCCCACCCAATGGGCCACGCCCACCCAGCACCTGACGATGCATAAGTGGGTTTTGGGTTGCAGTTTGGGCACTCGGTCTCCAAAAGGTTCGCCATCACTGGTATAGACACTGCATACAGCCATAAATAGAGGCCACTTGCCAAGCACCTAAAATGCAATCATGTGACCGCAGTTGAGGACCAGCAGTCATCAGCAACTGATCTTGTTAAACACAATAAGAATCAGTTAAATCCACCAAAGTATCAAGAATCCCAAATTAACTGCAAAAGCCCAGGATATTATTATTGCTATAATTCAGGAGGGCCCTCAACCTGTGGGCCGCAGCCTACACACCGGGCCGCGGCCTATTGGCCACTAGGCCGTGTGAGTGGCTGGCTGGCGCCCTCGTGTGTGCACACGCACATAGCCCCACTCGTGTTGAGCATCAGTGTGAGCATTTGCGGCCCCACCACAAACTGTTGCATCATCATTACCATTACTTCTTCCTCCTAATTTGCATCATCATCAAAGGCGCTCTCAGCCACACTTGCGCAAGCACCCACGGCCCCACTCACGTGAGCAATGGGTGTTCGACTGCAGGTGCGTGCATGCATTTATCCCCACACACACACACACACAAAACCATTCCTCCTTTCCACCCTCTCCGTGCTCCAGGCCGCCAATCTCAAAAGGCTGGGGAACTCTGCTGTAATTCGTTGCACAGTCCACCAAATGTTGAAACTGGGCTTGGCATTTTTGTCTGCCTGTTGAGTCCTTCCCAAAGACCGGGGAATAGGCAGATGTTGATGTTTGATGGACTTTCTTGTTTTTCCTTTGAAGACGTTTCGCTTCTCATCCCAGAAGCTTCTTCAGCTCTGACCGGATGGTGGGGGAATGGAAAGATTTATACTCCTTGCAGACAGCCGGTTGTTTGCCTTCTTTTGGAGAGTCGTTGAGGCCACTTGGAGTCTTACCTGTGTCCTCAGGGTCACCTGAGTGGTGCAAATGGGGGTGGATGCAGGATGTTTTCTGCCCTGGGTCCCTTCCCTGTTGGAGACGGGTGCAGGCTGTTGGGGATGAGTCCCGTGTTGTCTGCATCTCCAACTGAAGCGCAGATGGTTTTTGTAGCCTGCCATGTTTTCTGGAAATCCGTTCATCCTCCCTCACCATCCGAAGGGTGTTCAACCCAAAGCGCATGGCTAAATGTCCATGGAGATTCTCAGCCATCCAGGTCATAGTTTATCCCAAAGGTGCTTTTCAAAAGGCAACTGGACTTCCGTTGTTTATAATAATAATAATAATAATAATAATAATAATAATAATAATAATAATAATAATAATAATAATAATAATAATAATAATAATAATAAAGTTGGAAGGGACCTTGGAGGTCATCTAGTCCAAGCCCCTGCTCAGGCAGGAAACCCTACACCATTTCAGAAAAATGGCTGTCCAGTCTCTTCTTAAAAACTTCCAGTGTTGGAGCATACATAACTTCTGGAGGCAGGTTGTTCCACTGGTTAAATTGTTCTAACTGTCAGGAAATTTCTCCTTAGTTCTGGGTTTGCTTCTCTCCTTGATGAGTTTCCACCCGTTGCTCCTTGTCCTGCCTTCAGGTGCTTTGGAGAATAGCTTGACTCCCTCTTCTTTGGGGCAGCCCCTGAGATACTGGAACGCTGCTATCCTGTCCCCCCTCGTCCTTTTCTTCGTTAAACTAGACATACCCGATTCCAGCAACCGTTCCTTATATGCTTTAGCCTCCAGTCCCCTTATCTTTGAAGACGTTTCGCTTCTCCTCCCAGAAGCTTCTTCAGCTCTGACTGGCTTCTTTTTCGAGCATTCCTGCTTTAACCAAACCTGGCCAAATAGGAAAAGAAAATTAAACATTAAATGACAACGAATATGTTTGATTTATTGATTAATCTAGAGCAGGGGTGTCAAACTCAATTTCATTGACGGCTGCATCAGCATTACGGTTGCCCTCGGGGGGGCAGGTGGGTGCGGCCTACTGGGTGGGCGTGGAGGGACTGGGTGTGGCCTACTGGGTGGGCGTGGCCAGCTCTACATCGTTCGCGCCAAGGGTGCCTGTGGGGGCCTGGGCAGGAATGGGACAGATCTGAGGGTCTCTGGCAGAAGGGGGTGGGACCGGGGCAAGCGCCAAGGCAGGGTCCATTTCTTCATTCCTCACAAAGGGGGACCCCTCCCCAGCATGCACCCAGGGGGAGGGGCCAACGTGGCAGGGGCTGGTTCCTCGCTGTTTCCAGACGGCCTTGTGGAGCTAAGACTGAATGCATTTCAGCATAGATGGCCACCACAAAATTGTACATTGGCTCCCGGCCGGTCTGGGCCAGGGCCAAGGCAGCAGGGGCCATTCCCTCACTGTTTCCAGGATGGCTTCGCGGGCCACATGAAACCACTTTGCGGGACACATCCGGCCCCCCGGGCCTTGTGTTTGACATGTTTGATCTAGGCAATATATTTAATGTTTTTTGATTTATTAAAGGGGATATTGTGTTATTAAGTAGACGATTTAATATGGTGGGAAATAGATAACTCTTAGGAAATAGAACAAGGTTATATTTAAATAGATAAAATGTGTATTTTGGATATTATATAGTTTGTTATCTAGTGAAATAAGGGAAATTTGGGTTACCCCAAGTTCTGAAAATTATAAATATCAAAGGTTAAATTGGAATATTGACAAGAAATTAAAAAAATTGACTAAAAATCAATAACAGGATATGGATGGTTTATGAAGATTGAATGTAATTAAGATACACATAAGCTAAAAACGTATTGATCAATGTAATAATGATGTCCTTATTGAACTGATATAATTAGAAACGTACCAACCTGAACATGAGAAGTAATGGTTAAGGGGAAACAGAGAAGAAATATTTGATGTTGTAGCCTGAGATTTGTACTAAGATATTGTTGCTGTTCTTCTTGTGCCATATCCGTTATCGGACATTGGCGATCATGTTTTTATCAGCAGCCGCACAAAAAAGTGCTGCTGAGTTTTGTCCAAACCAGTCCCTTAGATTTTGAAGCCACGATATTCTTCTTCTGCCTGGACCTCGTTTGCCTTCAATCTTTCCCTGGGTGTTGCATCACCTGTCCGAAATATTCTAATTTTCGTTTTTTAATTGTTTTGATGATTTCCCTTGGCTTTCCCAGGCGGCTTATCACCTCCTCATTTCTGATCTTGTCAACCCAGCTTGTACGTAACAGCCGCCTGTAAAGATATTGTTATTGACTTAAATGGACTCCAGAAGATGGTAGAGGACAGGAAGGCCTGTCCATGGGGTCGCGATGGGTCGGACACGACTTCGCGACTAACAACAACGTTGTTACTGAGCTATTGATGAACCCAGTCACCACGTTGCTTTTTAAATATTCAAATCTGAAATTGGAAAATTCATAAACTATTATTCCAAAAAAAACAAAACCCCCAACCCCTGGCCAAATAGATTGTTCGTGGCTGAGTGGCCGAGTTGAGCCACGAAAAGGTTGTTGACATTGTCCTGTTGTCTCCCTATCTAGGCAAGTTGAGCAGCTGGTTCTGTACATGAAGGCAGCCCAGCTCCTGGCCTCCTCCTTACACCTGGCCAAAGCCCAGATCAAGTCAGCCAAGCTGAATCTCTCGACCGCGGTGAAGCAAGGTGAGCCCGACGACGTTCCTTCCGCAGAAAGTTCCAGAACGTTTTCCCAATCTCGGAGTCCCAACCGACCTCTGGTGGTTGAGGGTTACAAAGGGCGAATTCTTTTCCGCTGGCGACGCTACGTTTTTCTAATAATAGTAGTAGTAGTAGTAGTAGTAGTAGTAGTAGTAATAATAATAATAATAATAATAATAATAATAATAATAATAATAATAATAATAATAATAAAGTTGGAAAAGACCTTGAAGGTCATCTAGTCCAACCGCTTGCTCAGGCAACCTTGGCTCTTTTATAACTCATGGACTTCAACTCCCAGAATTCCTGAGCCAGCATGGGGGAACTATGGCCCCCTTCATGACTCGTGTACTTCAACTCCCAGAATTCCTGAGCCAGCANGTAGTAATAATAATAATAATAATAATAATAATAATAATAATAATAATAATAATAATAATAAAGTTGGAAAAGACCTTGAAGGTCATCTAGTCCAACCGCTTGCTCAGGCAACCTTGGCTCTTTTATAACTCATGGACTTCAACTCCCAGAATTCCTGAGCCAGCATGGGGGAACTATGGCCCCCTTCATGACTCGTGGACTTCAACTCCCAGAATTCCTGAGCCAGCATGGGGAACTATGGCCCCCCTCATGACTCGTGGACTTCAACTCCCAGAATTCCTGAGCCAGCTTGGCTCAGCTTGGAAACCTCTCCCTTTCCCCTCAGCATGGGTGGCTCAGGAATTCTGGGAGTTGAAGTCCACGAGTCATAAAATAGCTACGGTTGCCTACCCTTGCCCTATACCATTTCGGACAAATGGCTGTCCAGTCTCTTCTTAAAAACTTCCAGGGTTGGAGCATTCACCGCTTCTGGAGGCAAGGAGTTCCACTGGTTAATTGTTCTAACTGTCAGGAAGTTTTCTTTTCTTTCTTTATTTCACCTAGTCCGGTTGGAAGGACAGGTAGTCCTCGCACTTACGGCTACCATTGAGCCCAGCGTTTCTGTGGCTAAGCAAGACAGTTTTGCTCCATTTCTTGCCACCGTTGTTAAGCGAATCACTGCAGTTGTTAAATGGGTCATACCGTTGTTAACTGAATCTAGCTTCCCCATTGTGAGAAGGTCGCAAAAGAGAAAGCACATGACACCCCCCCCAGGACACAGTGACCGTCATAAATATGACTCACTTGCCCAGTGTCCGAATGTTGATCACATGAGCGTGGGAACGCTACAAGGGTCGTAAGTGTGAAAAAGGCTCATAAATTACTTTTTTTCAGCGCCCTTTTAATTTCGAACAGTCACTAAACTATCTGTAAAGGCAAAACATTACAGATGAGTTTCGGGGCGTTACTCAAATAGATGCCTTCAGATTACCAGAGGGTGGACATTATCTGCAATAGCCATTTTGTTGCCAGATCACCACTCCTGAATTGGGAAGCTTCTGTGGCTGCATGCCTGCCAAGCCTGTTATTTTGCAGGGAGTGTGCTATGTTACACAATGGGCCATGGGTCCTTAGAAAAGTAACCAGTGTTGGGTAACAACACTTAGAGCCTGTCTTTTTCCAGATAACATTGAACAGAATAACAGAGCTGGAAGGGACCTTGGAGGTCATCTAGTGCAACCCCCTGCTCAGGCAGGAAACCCTGTATCATTTCACACAAATAGTCGTCCAGTCTCTTCTTAAAAACCTCCAGTATTGGAGCACCCACAACTTCTGGAGGCAGGTTGTTCCGCTGGTTAATTGTCCTCACTGTCAGGAAATTTCTCCTTAATTCCAGGTTGCTTCTCTCCTTGGTTAGTTTCCATATGTTGCTTCTTGTCCTGCCTTCGGGTGCTTTGGAGGTTAGGCTGACACACACACACACACACACACACACACACACAAACCTTTTTTGTGGCAACCCCTCAGATATTGCAGCATTGCTATTTAGAAAAGGGCACCTGTCAACAACCCTTTTTAAGTAGCCGCACCTTGTACTTTTACATCTCTGCCTCGATTCTCGGTAGACCTTAACTTACGACACAATTGCCATGTGGCCATTAAGTGAATCATTGCATGACTACACCCAATTTTGCTACCCTTTTGCCTTGGTTAGAGTTGAAATCTCCAAGTCTTAAAGTTGCCAATTGGTAGCTGGGGAATTCTGGGAATTGCAGTTGCCAAGTGCTGGCTGGGAAATGCTGGGAGTTGAAGTCCACAAGCCTTGAAAGTTGCCAAGTGCTGGCTGGGGAATTCTGGGAATTGAAGTCCCTGAATCATAAAGTTGCCAAACCACCTTAAAGTTGGAGACCACCCCTGACCTAGGGGGTTACTTTGTTAGAGGTCTCACAACTGGATATTGTAAATTAACTAAGAGATGCATTAGTGACTAGGGCGGTGGGCAGGATGTGACTTGCCACCATTCAGGTCGCAAAGGGCCAGATTATTATTATTAATCGACACATTTGTTCAACACAAAATGTGGTGCCCAGTCTTCTTAATTGAGGCTTAAATCAATACATTCTGGGAGTTGAAGTCCACAAGTCTTAAAGTTGCCATAGGCTGTGGACACCCCTGGCCCAAAAGGAAAGGGTTGCTAAGACCAAAGGTAGCTGTGATGAGTGAGATTTGTTGATTTGTGTATATTGGTCTCTTGCACCCTCCTGGGGATCAGAAATCTGTTCTTAACCTCTCTCGTTCTGTCAATAGCAGCCAAAGAGCCAAATGGGAATTTTTTTGCTACTGAATGCATTTTTTACTTCAGATTCCTTCTTTTGCAGTTGTCAAAAATCTGAACGAGAGGTACAAATTCTGCATCGCCATGTGCAAGAAGCTGACCGAAAAGCTGAACCAGTTTTTCTCAGATAAGCAGCGTTTTGTCGATGAAATCAACAGCGTCACCGCCGAAAAGCTCATCTACAGTTGTGCGGTGGAAATGGTAAGAAAGCTGGCAGAATAAATCGATCATCGGGCGATCCGAT